CCCCCCAAACATTCATTTTGGCAAGTCCATAACTTTTGTTTAATACCAGATTTGGTGTTATTTATGTGGTCAAATCAGTTCATTCTCTACAAATACAATATCAATAATAGAAATAAATATATAGATAAAAAATTTTTGAACAATTATCTAAACTTAATGTATTAATTTTGAGTTTACATTTTATCTCCCCCCTTCCCCCAACTTTTGTTTCCTTCATCTTTCCTAGTATTTTCCAATTTCTATCCGCCAAAAAGACCATAAGATATAGATTATGTCAATAGTGGGAGTATTTTAAAGAAACTGGAAACCTGTTGATTTGGGGTTGATGGTCACTACAGCCAAGTTCGTTTATTTTCTCTCCAACTTGAGAACCATCCACTTTTGGTGGATGAGGGCAACTTTCATCCACTATATCAGGAAGAGGGGCTTCTGATGAGATGATTGGAAGACCAGCCCTCGAATCTGCCAAAAATGCCTCATGGACATAAGCTTCACCATCTTTATCAGTACAATCATCCGCACTGTTCTTTTCTCCAAAATTATCAGCAGAGCCAGTGTCCTACAAAAGAACAGTTCAAGTCATTATGTGATATTGGAAATGGCTCAAGAAAGGAGTTTCTCAACACACACACACACATATAGACACACACACATTTAGGCCCCAATGATACTGTAACAAACATTTGTGTTATGTATCAACTTATACCAGACTTAAGTATTTGAAAGAAGCTGCTAAAAACATTTAAGTAGCTTCATTTCTGATTTCATTAATCTCAACCATTGGTTATGTAGTATGCACCATTATGTGCATGCTGATTTTACAATATCAGTACTGTAACTGGACATGATTATGACAACAACGTAACCCTATGACCATTTCATGATATGTTTACATGCAAGTGGAACAACTTATACGCTGGTAACTGTTTTGAAATTTAATCTCATAATCCCTTTGTAAGGAGGATGCGTCAGAAAGGGCAGCATTTTAAACTAATTTTAGAGAATTGATTGATCTTACAATATTAATCTATCAATTCAACTATAGTTGGTATTAAGCCAAAAAGATGACGATAATGAAGAATGTTGTCAGTCAGGTTGGAAATGTGGATTAAACAAGACCACTATGAAATTGAAGGAACTCGAAAGACTACCAGTTTTTCAGATGATGGGTGCAAATTTTCCAAAGCTGCAGCCTTGCACTTTCTTTTTTGTGATTCATATAGACGCCGCCGTTCCTTTTTATCTGCATTTGATCTATATGACTTCTGAGTTCCAGTAGCAATACGCCATTGCCGAGGTAGTAAAGAAGGATCTCTATACGGAACAAAAAACTTCCACACTGACATCCAGTCAAGTTTAAATACTCTCAAACCCTGAACAATGTAGGTATATGTACTCAGAATGTTTGGGAAACATATTTGAATTATGGTTTAAAATTTATTTTTTTTGGATATAATCCTCCACGAAACGTAAGAAAGTCGGCATATTTTGACCAATTCAAAGTATGGTGTGCAATATCTGTCAGCCACAAACTTTGCGTTTCGGGATGAAATCCTCCGGTTTGGTTTTTCTTTGCCTCTGTAGACCTCTCATGTATTTATTACTTTATTTAATTTCATATTCGAAAACATTGATTTTACGTACTTCCTCAATCCGCGCAATCTCTTCTGAAGTCAATGGGGAATTCTTTAATCTCCGGGCAGCCTACATGATGTCATAATCAAGGAGTAACTTCAGGATTAATATTAATATGCAAAATAACATTTAAACATATTCTGAGAAAATCAAGTCCAGAGCATGATAAATTAATGCTTTAAACATAGGATATCAAATCCCCAAAGCCCAAGCTGCTAACATATGGAGAATTTGTTCCTTTTTTTTTTTGTAAATCCACCGCGAGAACTTGAGTCAAAAAAGTGTACTCATTCCATCCATGAATAATCTTCTCATTATTTTGGGACATAAGGATTAACAAATTTCATATTATAGACAAAATGCATCTGAATGTTCAAAAGACTATAAATCTGATTTTTTTTTGTGTTAACTTACGCCAATGCTCAATTTCAATCGTGTCCATAAAAGTAAATGACCGAATCTAAACAAACTAATGCAAATTCCAACATCACAACCATATCTCAATAAATAATATTTAATGGATTTCTGCATAAAATACTCCTTAAGATGGCAATGATAGATATTTTTCCATTGCCTGGACAACTTCATTTAACAAGAGAATACCAGATCCCAATTACAACATCACCCCAATGCCTCAAAGGCTCCCACCCATTGCAGGGTAAGGAGGGGCTGGATGTACGCGGCGTGACCCCTATGTTTAAAACATAGAGCACTGTTTCTGGAAATCAGATCCCAATGCTGCTAAAAATTTCAGAACACATGCTTTTTTATTTTACCCAATACCTTCTTAGTTCAAAACGAACCACTAAAATTTGAGTGAAAGCACATGAAACAATATCATATTACAAATAAATGTATTTATTTGTAGAAGAAAGGTGATTAAACAAGAAAGTTAGATTATTAGAATAAACTTTAAACAATCCATTCCATTCACACTAAGACTTAAGAGTCTAAGACTACTTGGCAAGGAAAAAAGTAATGTAAAAGAAATTCAGCGCTCAACCAATTAATCTGAAGCTAGAAATGTGGATGCCCAACAAAAATTTAGTCTCAATTATTATCCATAGAAATTACAGTTGGTTACCTTTATTGGATTTTCAGGGGCTTTAGATGATGAACGGTTCTTCTGCCTGACAAAAATCTGCATAAAATATAGTATGGATACATTTAGCAAAAGTAAAGTACAAGAATCAGTAAAAAAATGAAAAAAACAGTCAACACCACAGCCAACAATCTACATGACCTGATGCTTAGATTTGCAAGGGAGAAATTGCTGTTGAATAGCCTTCCAGTCTGTATTGTACTCCCTGACTCCCAAAGCCAACAATCTACATGACAAAAAGGTCACACGGTAAGATTTCAGATGCATCAAGTATGGAAAATGGAGCCACAATTTTTATTACGTAAAAGTGGAGACAGTGAAGTTACTAGGTTGTTATATTATACTTCCTCCGTCCCGAGTTTTCATCCAATTAGATTACAGAGTATAAAATTATATTCAGTCAAACTTAGCAAGCTTTGAGCATCAATTAAAAATATTTGCATTGCATTTCAATACAAAAATATTTTCGTTAGATTTATCATGTAAAAAGCTAATAAAAATTATCTCATTGTATTAATATGCAATGCAATTTTTATTTAATTGAAGATCAAACTTTTGGCCTTTCACTAGAAAAATCAAATTCGACAAATACTCTGGACCGAGGGAGTAAGTCAAAGTGAAGAGCATCAAGACAAGCTGTGATTCCTAACATCAAGCATTCTATCAGAGAGTTATGATTGAGTCAATAATGATTAATAACACCTACAAAGTATGAAGAAGCATCAGATTCAAGATGCAAATATGTTCAGATCTCATATGGCCAAAAACAGGTTTAACAACTACCACATATTCGAATCCAAAAGCTATGAACCAAACGGCACTGCTATGCCAAAAGATCTGATTCCATATTGTGCACTTCAACCAGTTTAAGATCTTCTCCAACAACATAAAGGACAAAGAACTAGCAAGTGGAGAATATGGCCAACCTTTGTTATGGAAAAATGTATAAATAAATTCACAGGTTCTTGATGTATCTACTTAGCCCAAATTAATCACCAAATGTTTTTCTTACACTTCTGAAATCGCCAAATGGCAGTAGACAAGTTACCATTGCATACAATGATAAACATAAACATGTGTGTATATATACATCTAAACTCACTTATCCTCAGCATCGGTGAAGAGTACCCGATTCACCACAGCTGCTGGAGGTGGCTTATGAGGATACAGGACCGGATTAAATAACGGATAGAATTGCTTGGCCAACTTAGCAATCTCCTTCGGAACAAGTGCAATTGATTGTTTTTTTGCCCTTTCAACTAGTGAAGCAGCCAATGTCTTTTTAGATATGGGTGAAGGTAGCAGAGCAGGATGGTCTGCTTCAGCAGACAGCTGAGTGTCACACGCAGGAAAGAGGGGAACTTTTTCAGCAGAAACATCACAAGTAGCTCCTAGTTGTCGCCTCTGGCATTCTTGTGCAACTGTTAGCAAAGGTCAATAAACAGTTCACATTCAATATCATGAAGTAATTGGATGTGAAAAGTGTAATTCATTTTTCCAACATGACATACCGGACACATCATCTAGGAATTTTCTAACCAACTTGAGAGGAGCCACATCAAGAACAGTAACTGTTTTATCACCAACGTAAGGCATCCAGGGGGAGCCTTCGGCAGATCGCAAGCATTCATCCTGCTCGGTTGAGGCATACACTAACCGTCCTGTTGAAGGAGATGTACAATTAGAAGGCTGAACCCCATTTAATGCAGCAGAGCAATCTCCCTGCATATCAGAGGCTGAAGACAATCCATTGATATTACGCCTTGGCAAAATATCAGGAGCACTACCATCCATTGACGAATGAATATGCTTTGGTATGAAGCACACTTGGGGGTATGGTGCCCTTCCCTGTGCTAACATTTCATCTCGCTTACATAGTAATTCAGATATCAATTTATGAACATCCGGAGCAATGTATTGTTTTACAGGGTCAAGAACACAAAGAGAAAATGTCTGGATAAGAAGTTGAACATGCTCATGTATTAAGGAGTGAAGCTGTCCTATCTGATACGGAGTAAATCCATTTATAAGTCCATTGGGAGAGCTGAGACAGATTGGTGCGGCCCTGGGCACCCAACCTTTCCCTGCAAATGCAGAGTACATAGCAATGGGTGAATATGGCAAGAGAGGGCGTAATTGCCTAGTTGATTCTCCAGAAGCCTTCTTATGCTCAACAGAATATTTTTGGCGCCTACTAAGCCTAGTCTTTGGCCGCTGCTCAATAGCCTTACCCTCCCCAATATCGTCTTTCAGGTTTTCATCAAGGTCACTCTCTAATGCCTCTTCGATTTCAAGCTCAAAATCAGCATCATTGTCTTCGTCTTCATCATCCACATTCTCATGGTCTTGTGCATTTGCTGAGTTTCCCTCTACACCCTGTAACACTGCCGCTAGAAACTTTTTGTACTCTTCTTCATCATCAACATTCTGAACATCATCCTCGTCATCTGTTTCCTGAAGGAATGTCTCTAGTTCATCAAGTGTAAAGCCAGCAAGTGAATACCTTGCTCTGGTTCTTCTGCAAATCGCATCCTCATCATCCTTCTCCATAACAGCCATCCTCAAATGTCCACGGCTGATACCCTCTTCAAGTGCGACCTCCTGAGTATCATTTGTCCCTCTATTTGAGGAACCATCTATATGTAATAACTAATAATGCAGTTTGCTTTGCAATTCTTCATGCCAAAACTGAGTGGAGAAAAAGTAACCAAAATTAAAATAGTCTCAATGTTTTTTTGCTAATGTATCTATCATTTCTTTACAATTCGCTTTAAAGTTTAATCTTTTTTTGTTTTCAGCAAAATATACAATGAGAAGTGGGAGCAGTCTTTGCTTTAAATTTTAGTCTTCTACTCTTGTGTTGTTTTTAGTAATAACTGTATCTTCATGCCAAAACTGAGTGAAGAAAAAGAAACAACAATTAAAATAGCTTCAAGGTGTTGTTTTATAAACTATCTGTCATTTCTTTATAATTTGCTTTAGTTTTTAATCTCTTGTTGTTTCTAGTAAAATATACAATGAGAAGCGAGTGAAGTGCAGAGCACAAGACTTAACCTATACCAATAGAAATAGCTATTTTGTGGTTTCCATTAACAAAAGACAAACTTTTATTTTATATTTATCCCCGCCCGGGGTGTGTGTGTGGTGGGGGGCTCAAGCTCTCTCTCTCTCTCTCTCTCTCTCTCTCTATCTCTCTCTCTCTCTCTCTAAAAGGAACTTAACATGTTCAATTTTCTACACTAGCGAATCAACATCTCTACAGAAAAATTTCTTTTGCCTTGGCAATAACAAACTGAAAGAAAATGCAAATATCTGGAATGTAATAGAAAAATACTCTGTATTAAAAGTTAAACGCGAACATCCAAAATACTTGATGCGATCATATTTTCAAAAAAATGGCAACACAATCTCAAAAAGAGAACAATATTTACCCAGCAGAATCAGTATGCTGTAAATAAAAATATATAAATACAAAAAAATGAGAAACAATTACAAGACAAGCACTCACCTTTAATGTGAAAAAGGCTCTGCCGAGTGGTGTTTCACACATATCCTCGAAAAATTAGGGTTAAACTCTCTAGAGCCGCGTTCCAGATTTAGAATTTCGACCATCCGAAAACCCATTGATGATAAAAACATATGCTAATGGTGTTTCGTATCCGGATAAATATGAAACAAGAAAAAGGATGAAGAAGCGAAAGATGAGAAATCTTTATGATGCGAAAGATGAAGAAGCAGACAAGACTGGAGATGGCGAGTAGAAAAGGGAATACCTGAGGATGAACACGAAGGAACTGTACGTTTTGAAATCAGCGTGGGGTAATAATAATCCTGGAAAGAATTAGAGTTGGGCTGGAGTCCAAAGATAGGAGGCATCTGGCCCATGTTTTTTAACTGGTCCACTTCCTAAGTGGAAAGAAAGAGTAATCCGGTTTCAACTTCATGATCAGCTTTCGCTTCGTCTTCAAAGAGGGTGTTTGTGAGTGATTAACTTATGAATAAAGTGATTTCCACAAAAGTTGAAAGCAAAAACACCTTATACATGCTTCTTCGAAACGGTGTTCTATGTACAAAATATTGATGGTGAAAAACAGAAGCTGACATGTCAAACAGAGTAAAATCACTTCTACTCAAAGCAGAAACTAAATTATTAAAAGCAGCACACTGCCAAACATCCTCTAAATGAAGTCTACCTACTTCTATTTTGTCTTCCCAATTGGCTTCAACGTTGGCTTCCTCTTTGAAAGTTTGTCGTGGAGGTCAAAGAAGAAAGTTGATTGTGATTTGTCTTCGAAAAGAGAGAGCAAAGAGCACAGCGAGGAGAGAAAAAAGAGCGAAGTAACAAGGCGAATATTGTCTTCTAGAAAATTTTAAATAAGATAAGTTTCAAATTTATTGGTTCATTTTCCATTTGAACAAAGGTTATTTAATTTTCCATTGATTTTGGTTTTCATGTCTTATCATTTATCAAACACTGAAATTGAGAAAAATAGAGCTTATATTACACATTTCCTTAAAGATTAATCTTGTTAGTCTTGGATTGAAAAATTGAAGTAATTGATGTTAACACACACACACACACACACACATATATATATATATAATCCCCGCCCAGTTTTTTTTCGAGTCCAATTGGACAAATTTTAAACTCCAACTAATATTAATTTATATTGCATATTAGTACAATGAAATAAAATTTTAAAAATTTTCAAGAAGATTAATTAATAAAGTCTTTTTTATTCTAATATACATCAATTTTTGTTTAATTATAGCTCAAAGTTTATTCTATTTGATCCAAAAAAGTCAAACTAGACAAATACAATAGAACGAATGGAGTATGTATGTATGTATGTATGTGTGTGTGTGTGTGTGTATATATATATATATATATATATTGTAACGCTCCAAACATTCCCTAAAATTATTAATGAATAATTATTCAATTAATCAAATTTGTTTTGATTAAAATAAATTATTATTGAGCTTTGGGCCGAAATAAAATATGTATTGATATCCAATAAACATAATTGGGATAAATCTCATAGAGATAAATCCAATATGTTGACTACTTGTATGATCTTGATTGGGGACTAGAGTACAGACCTAAATTAAGAACAAATGAAGAATTTGTTTATGATATGAACTTTGAAATGATTTATTGAAATAAATCATGAGAATAAGTAATATGAATTAAATGAGAGGACACTTTGAATAAAGGTCAACTAAATTAACTTAGACTCTGTCAAAGTCAACCACCCAAAAATATGATATTGGAAAAAGTATTACAAATAAATATAAAATTTATATCATTGGATAGAGTTTAACTATCACAGCGATGCAAACGGATTTCAATTCGAAGAAAGTTGGACAAAAAATGTACCCCGAATGGGAATGAAATTAGTCCCAATCAGGGACTTGCGTTTGGAATCGGAGAAATATCGCAGCCCGCTCCACTAGCCACCCGAACAGGAAACCAGACATCACCCTTGGCCGCATCCTTCACCATTTTTCTATATAAGGACCACTTCTATTGCTTTAATTCCTCACCATTTCTCACAATCTTTCTATCTATTCTGTTGCTGGGAGTGAGGAGAACGCAGTGGTGCTGTCATATTGGTGTGAGGTCACCGGAGTTGAGAGCTATCGTCGCCGGAAGTTTCGCCGGAAAATCCTCAAAACCTCCATTAAGCTTCAAGGTAAGCCCGTAGATATATATATGTAGTGACTAGAATGTTCGTATAGATCGTTTCTACGTTCATAAACGGCCGTTTGGTTGAGTTTTGTATTTGACATGCTTGAAGAACAAAAAATCAAAAACCATAAAATTGTTGTTAAAAGTATGAATTAATGATACCAAAATGATCTATGAACCTTGGAGAATGTGAAATTTTCTTTGGAATACAAATATTCATGTAATGGCACATTGTCTGACGTTGCCGATTTCATAACTCATATCACATCTACTCGCAAAATCTCAGAAAACGGGTCCTTAATGTCATTAGATTCATTTGGAGAGATAACTTTGAACTACATGTATATAACCTTTATAAAATACAAAGTATTTTTTATATAATTATATGTATTGACGGCTTTTTCTTTAGTGCTAGAATTTTTAAACTACATAAATCTATAAAAAGATAATGATTGTAAAAAAATTAAAATCAAAGATGGTAAAATTTAAATAAATACAGTAAAATTTATTTAGAGAAGAAAAGACTACATAAGTAATATATCTACGGAAAGAAATTCGTAATTAAAGGACGTGGAGAGCATTTAACGAGTAAAGGATGAGTCATAGCAGAAACCGTGAATCCACCAGTCCCATCGCTCTCAGTTGTCTCTTTGTTGTCATCAACCTTATCCCACTCAAAACACTGCACTAACGACGCTATGGCCAACTCCAAGACACAGAGAGCCAAGTTCTCGCCTGGGCACCTCCGTCTTCCCGACCCAAATGGAATGAACTCGCACCCATTTCTCCCGCCCCCACCACCTTCCACGAACCACCTCTCTGGACTAAAAACTTCAGGCTCTGCCCAAACCCTATGGTCACGATGGATGCCCCATGCGTTGACCACCAATATGGTTTCTCGTGGGATGTGAAAACCAGAGAGCGTGCAATCCTCTGTGGAGAAGTGAGGTAGCAATAGCGGCGTTGCCGGGTGCATTCATAAGGTCTCATTGACAATGTAGTGGATGTACGGAATATTTGGCAAGTCAGACTCATCCACGATGCGGTGGTTTCCGACATGTTTGTCCATGTCGGCTCGTGCCTTGCTCAACACCTGGGGGTTGTCGAGGAGATAGGAGAATGCCCACTCCAAAGTCACAGCGGTTGTATCAGAACCTCCTTGGAGCAATACCTAAAAAGTGGCAACCAATCTGTAAGTTATAATAGTAGTCCCTCCATTCTTAATTAATGTGTGATTTAAATTTTTGATACATTAATGAGAATTATGACAGTGCCAAAAATGTTAATCTGTCAATTAAGTTAAAAATGGGCGAGTACGTTAAATGAAAATGATGATCTAAATATCTATATTAAATAATTATATACATCGTCCATATTTAAATGTCTATCTCCATATTTATTTTCCCCATATTTTCTGCTAAATTTTTTATTTTGATTATATTATTCTAAAATTATTTTCTCATTTTATTTTAAAGAATATTATTCTTTTGGTATTCTTTTTCATTGTTTTATAAATAAGTTGTAACGACACATATAATTTTATTTTGTAGAGTAAACATGTTTGCACCGCTGAAGCCTTTACAATCAGACATAGAGATGAACCCACGTGATATGGGTCGAGTTAACCCAACCCATGAGTGAGGTTCAAAATCCGCTGAAGTAGAGAAAAATGTTGGAGGAAAAGCCTATTTTGCAAGCAGTTGAAACTGGTGGAGATGGTGTTTCATGTAAAGCAAGATACATATGCAAATTCATTGTCACTTTACCTAAGATGAATTGCTCAATGACAATATATGCTCAATTCAGTCCAAGCCTCCAAAATGGGTAGGTTATTTTTAATAGTATATTGAAGACAGAGTACTCCTCGGTGATCCTAAATAGGTACAACTTTTAAAAAGGAGAGATCTGAGTTATGTCATTCTCGATAACAAACTCTACAAACGGACTTACAATGACACATTTATATGATACTTGAGTAAGAACAAAGGGATCTTATCATGAAGGAAATACATGCAAAGATGTGCACACTCCACTATGGTGTTTCGCAATATCCATGAGAGCAGTCTTGCAAGGTTACTTCTGGCTGACAATAATGAAGGGATATGATGCCTACGTTCAGAGATGAGAGGTATGTCAATAGTTCGAGGAGGTACCTAATAGGCCTGTAACTATCTACACCCCAATCAACTTATTAGTTGGGCTGAACCACATTAAAAAATTGAATCCAATCGATTAGTTAGTTCAACTCAAGAGCTAATTACATACCGATTATTTTGCTCTTGAACTTCCGATGTGGGATGACACTCTAACATTCCCCCTCAAGTGGACAACTGGGTCATTTTGAATCCAACCGGTTGACCACTTGCAAATAAACTCTCATTCCCTTGATTTTTTTAGCGCCAACACCTAAAGGACCACGAGCCGCTTGGTATGGACTTCCAGACGAGCAATCGTGTTAAACGGGCCACAAGTCGTTGGGTACATACTCCATACGAATAACTGGGCTAAAGACTAACGGGCCGCTAGGAATGAACGTCTATACGGACACCTTGACAAACGAGGTGGGCCAAAACCTGCTTTGAAACCATAACAGAATTTAGGATGGGTATGGACAACTAAATTGGGCAATAAGGCACTTGGGTTGAACCACATTAATAGATTGAATCCAATCAATTAGTTAGTTCAACTCAAGAGCTTATATATCGATTATCTTGCTCTTGAACTTCCGATGTGGGATGACACTCTAACACTCACATGTGGTTATGGTGAAAGGGCTCTAATTAAGGTGATCATTTCGAGCAAAATGTAAGAACGTAAGATCTGATAGAGAATAAACCAAAATAAGACCT